TGGCGCTACCTGGGGCCTTACGAGTCAGCCTGGTGCTGGGACAGACCAGATCTAGGATCTGTGGTGAAGTCAGATGCTCGCTTTACTCTCCTTCTCCCATGGGGAGAGTGTCTCTCTCCATGCTGGGCTGCTTGGGCTTGGGGGAGGAGGGATGGGGATAATGTGACTCTATCTTTCTTGCCCTCCCCAATGCATCTTTCTTATTTCTGTGCTTCACCCATGTGCTATAACCCCTAACCGGGAATCCTTGGCTCTTATGAAGGTATTTCTGTGTGTGGATAGTTGTGATATTTCTTGCAGGGGGAAAGGCAAGAAAGCCCTGTGCCACCATTTTGCTAACATCACTTCAAGAGGATCTCTGGATATGTTTTAAAGGCAAAGGTATTAAGATTCCTCAGGGCATTGTAGGTAGAGGGCAAGAAAGAAGAGCCAAAGTTGACTCCAAGTCTTGTGGCTTGAGCAAAGACAAGGACAAAGTAACCATTTATTGGGTTGAAGATCAAATACAAAACAGGTTTTGAAGGGGAAGATTAAAAAGTCATGTTTTATGGAGCTGAAGGAATCAGGGTTACTGACTTCAGACTATACTACAAAGCCACAGTTATCAAAACAGTATGATACTGGCATAAAAAGAGACACATAGCTCAATGGAACAGGACAGAAAGCCCAGAAACAAACCTACACACCTATGGTCAATTAATCTATGACAAAGGAGGCAAGAATATACAATGGAGAAAAGACAGTCTCTTCAATAAGTGGTGCTGGAAAAACTGGACAGCTACATGTAAAAGAATGACATTAGAACATACCCTAACACCATATACAAAAATAAACTCAAAATGGACAAACTACCCAAATGTAAGACCAAATACTATAAAACACCTAAAGGAAAACATAGGCAGTACAGTCTTTGACAGAAATTGCAGCAATATCTTTTTGGACCTTTCTCCTAGAGTACTGAAAATAAAAACAAAAATAAACAAATGAGACCTAATTAAACCTAAATGCTTTTACACAGCAAAGGACACCATAAACAAAGTGAAAAGACAACCTACAGAATGGGAGAAAATATTTGCAAATGATGCAATTGACAAGGAAGTAATTTCCAAAATATACAAACAGCTCATACAGCTCAGTATCAAACAAACAAAAAACCCAATCAAAAAATGGGCAGAAGATCTAAATAGACATTTCTCCAAAGAAGACATACAGATGGCCAACAGGCACATGAAAAAAATGCTCAACGTTGCTAATTATTAGAGAAATGCAAATCGAAACTACAATGAGGTGTCATCTCACACCGGTCAGAATGGCCATTGTCAAAGAGTCTACAAATAATAAATGCTGGAGAGGGTGTGGAGAAAACGAACCCCTCCCACACTGTTGGTGGGAATGTAAATTGGTGCAACCACTATGGAGAACAGTATGGAGGTTCCTGAAAAAACTAAAAATAGAACTACCATATGATCCTGCAATCCCACTCCTGGGCATACATCAGGAGAAAACTCTAATTCGAAAAGATACATGCACCCCAATGTTCATTGCAGCATTATTTTCAATAGCCAAGACATGGAAGCAACCTAAATCTCCATTGACAGGTGAATGGATAAATAAGATGTGATGTGTGTATGTATATGTGTGTGTGTGTGTGTGTGTATATATATATATTCATATATATATATATACACACACACACACACACACATATATATATAGTGGAATATTACTCAGCCATAAAAAAGAATGAAATAATGCCATTTGCAGCAACATGGATAGACCTAGAGATTATCATACTAAGTGAAGTAAGACAGACAAAGATAAATGTCATATGATATTGCTTATATGAGGAATATAAAAAAATGATACAAATGAACTTATTTACAAAACAGAAATAAACTTGCAGACACCAAGCTTATTGTTACCAAATGGGAAAGGTGGGGAGGGATAAATTAGGAGTCTGGGATTAACATATACACACTACTATAGATGTAACAGACAACCGACAAGGACCTACTGTATAGCACAGGGAACTATACTTAATATTTTATAATAACCTACAAGGGAAAAGAATCTGAATAAATAAATATATATGTACATATATATATATATATATTTAACTGAATCACCGTGCTGTACACCTGAAACTTACACAACGCTGTAAATCAACTATACTTCAGTTTAAAATAATTCGTGTTTTAGACATGGCAAGTTTGAGAAGTTGATTAGACAACCAAGTGAAGAGGTCAATTAGGCAATCTGAATACAAGTTTGGAATTTCAAGAAGAAGTCATGGCTTGAGATGTAATTTGGGAAGTCATCATCTTATAGATGGCATTTAGAATGGATGAGAACACAAATAGAGTGAGTACAGACAGAAAAAGAAAAGGTATGAGGACCCAAATCCTAAGATATCAACCTTAAGCTGTTAGGGGAAAAAAGCAGAAATCAACCAAGGAGACAGAGAAAAAGCAATCAGTAAGCTATGAAGATATGATGTCCTAGAATTCAAGTGAAGCAAATGTTTTACGGGTGATAGGTCTAATAAGAGGAGGACTAAAAATTGACTACCGAGTTTAGCAATATGGCAGTCACTGGTATTTGTGCGACAGAAGCTTCAGTGAAGTTATGGGTGTCGAAGCCTGACTCCAGTGGCTTTGTGAGGGAATGAGAGAAGAAGAATTAGAGACAGTGAATATAAGCAACTTTTTCAAGAAGTTTTGTTGTAGAGGAAAGCAGAGAAGTGAAACAGTAGATGGAAGGTGAGTAGAGCCCAGAGGGGATTTTTTAAAATAATTAAATGAGATAAAAATTATGTTTGCTGATGGGAATGACCTGACACAGAGTGCAGAACTGGTAATGGATGTAAGAGGAGAGGGTTGCTGGAGATTTTTCCTTGACCATGTGAAAGACTGGAACCAAGTATGAAAGTGGAGAATTTGTACTTAGAAGGAGCAGGGACAGATAACTTATGGTAACAGGAGGGAAGGCAGATTATGTGGGTACAAATGCTGGTAGGTAGGAAGATGGTGGTGGGAGTGGGTGTGGATTTATCTTATAACTGCTTCCGTTTTCTCAGTGAAGAAGGAGGCAAGGTCATCAGTCCAGAGTGATCTTTTGATTCCCCAGAGTAACACCCTGCAGTGGCCACCTATTGCTCTTAGAATGAAACATACTTGTGGTCAATGAGATCCTACTTCATTTGACAAATGCCTACTTCTCATGCCTCCCATACACTGGACATTTCTGTCCCTTCGTGTTCCTCCAACACTGCAATCTTGCACCTCCAGGCCTTTGCAGGTGCTGTTTCTTGTAACTAAAGTCTGTTTTCTCCTTCTTTGTACTTGGCTGAATTTATCTCATCCTTCAGGCTCATCCTCCTCTGAGTGGTCTTTCTTGATAATCTAACAGCATGGCCACCACAATCCATCCCCAGGTACTCTCTGTCATATCACCTTGTTTAGTTACCTATAACTATTACCAAGACATGTCAGAAATTGCCTTGTCATTTACTCAAGGTAAACTCCTTGAGTACAGAAAGATATTTTCTATCATGTTCACCAAGATGTCTTCAGGATAGATGAGAGCTAATTAGCACAGTTTTACTTGTTGAATAAATGAATTGGGCAAGACCGGAGGGAGACCTCGATCTATGCCCCTTACCCAGATTGCCAAATTTTCTCAGAAATAGAGTAATATCTAAAAGTTTCCAAGAATCTATTGAATACAATTTGTCAGACCAATGTAAATGTAAGATGGAGATGATTCACTATTAAAAGACAAGAAAAAGGCAAAGTTGTACTTGTTTGAATGCCAAAACATAATTCTCAAACATGAATACTTCATTAAAAAACCCAGAAGATAGAGATACACCAAAATATTAAAGAAGATGTGGTAATATATGCAATGGAATATTACTCAGCCATTAAAAAGAATGAAATAATGCCATTTGCAGCAACATGGATGGACCTAGAGATTATCATACTAAGTGAAGTAGGTCAGTCAAGGACAAATATCCTATGATATTGCTTATATGCTGAATCTAAAAAAAATGATACAAATGAACTTATTTACAAAACAGAAACAGACTCACAGACTTAGAGAATGAACTTATGGTTACCGGGGGAAGGGTGGAGGAGTAGTTTGGAACTGACATGTACACACTGCTGTATTTAAAATAGATAACCAACAGGGACCGACTGTATAGCACAGGGATCTCTGCTCAATACTCTGTAATAAACTAAATGGAAAAAGAATAGATACATGTATATGTATAACTGAATTACTTTGCTGTACACCTGAAACTAACACAACATTGTTAATCAACTATACTCCAATATAAAATAAAAATTTAAAAAAACTACAATCTATTATGGAGAAAAAATTTTTTAAATATATTAACAGTGGTTTTCTCAAAGTGAGGGCATGCAGATCAGTTAAGTTTTTCGGTTACATATATTTTTCAAATTCTGTGATATACATGTATATATTAGATGGAGAAAAGACAGCCATAGTTTACCAATATCAATTCATTATTTAAGAAGATGTATGCCCAAGACCTAGTTGACATATGCTCTATTACACTTCCTGTGTCATCATACTTCTCCTTTCCTCAATGACTTCAGCATTGGCTCAGTTTTCTTTTCAATCATAATCCCTTTTTTGGCAGCTCCAACATCCTCAAGGATGACTCATCTCTGGACCTGGCTGCACTTAACTTCCTCAAATGTAATGCCCTTCACTTCTGCTTCATTTATTCAACAGGCAGCATAGTTATACCCACTACTTGATCATCTTTGGAACTATCTCCAAGATTCTTAACCTAAAATATGCCCTCTCTGACCACAGATTGTTAAATTCCCGCCTCTTCCACTGGTCATATCCCTACAATCACTCCTTTGCCACCACATCATGTACAGCCTCTTAGTATCTTCTTATTTCCAGAGTATTCGAATATTTGCATTTTCCTTGCTATGACCTTTGATCACCCATTTGAAAGCCACTCTCTGGGGTCCCTAGAGGTTTCCACCTCCCCAGTCCTCTTCTGTATCTGCTTTCCCAATTCCTAGCTCTGGATAAATCTCATCATCTTTTTTCTCTAACACTTCTCATGTCTCTGCGATGTGACTGAGAGGCACTGCTGAAAGAAGCTACTATAATTCTAGGTTTTCCAATTTGAAATGGATCCTTGTCACTCCTCAGCAGTAGCTGTCTTGTTGCCTTGTTTCTCCCTTCATTGCATTGACCTTTTATTTTTCTCCTTTCATGGTTTGGCCAATTCTCTGGAGGAACCAGTGGGGTCTAAAATTGGAGGCCTCAGGGATAACTTCCTCCTCTGAGCCTCTGTCATGCTTGGTATCTGTACCACAGGAGCCGAGATCAATATGGTTGCCATCCTAACCTGTGTCTTTTTTTCTTCTGCTCTTCTCTACCCCTGACCCTCATTTAAATTTTCCTCAATCAAATTATACCTTCAGGGGCTTCCCTGGTGGCGCAGTGGTTGAGAGTCCGCCTGCCGATGCAGGGGACACGGGTTCGTGCCCCGGTCCGGGAAGATCCCACATGCCGCGGAGCGGCTGGGCCCGTGAGCCATGGCCGCTGAGCCTGCGCGTCCGGAGCCTGTGCTCCGCAACGGGAGAGACCACAACAGTGAGAGGCCCGCGTACCGCAAAAAAAAAAAAAAAAACCTTCAGAATTTATCTACAAAATAGGAACTCCTTTATAAAACAGAATGTGTCTGCTCAGGAAGCAGAAAGAGAACCCTCCCGGACAGAGAGGAACAGAGAGGGTTCGAGGTTCAGATATAATGTTTGGGAGAAACAAGAAGTGCATAGACCCTCCTCTTCTCCACCTCGGGTTCCCCATATTAATGGAATAAAGATAGAAGGAAGGAGAAATAAATGTGCAGGCTCTTGGGAAGAGGGGCTCTGATCCCTGTTTCCAAGATAGAGTTCCAGGGTGGAGAGAGACCCCAGCCAAAGTAAAGACCTTGGTGTCTGCAGGCAGGTGGTGCCAAGAAAACACTGCAGACTTCAACTTCCCAGGTATGACACAGAAGCACTGAAGATATGTACTAGACCCGAGCGGGTAGTATCAACAGTGATCCCTTTGCATAGAGGAGGAATGCACCATGTATGGTCACACTCTAAATGCCAAGAAACTATGGAAGACCCTGGAAGGTTTCACACCATAACGGGAGGGGAGGGGACCCCCTGCGAGTGACTGTGGTTCATTTGCTACTAACTGTATGGGAGTAAGTCAGATATTAAGTTGAGCTATAGAAATAAATATGTAGATATTCACAGAAATAGAGCTATATAGGTAGATGTCTTATCAACTGAGATTTATAAAGCTTCCACGCTCAACTGGTACTTCATTTATGCCTATGACGACCATACAGCTAAGATTTTCAAACCTAGGCAGAATTAACATGTTCTCCATTTTTCTAAGATATATTAATTCTCACACACAAAATAATTTGTTAGGTCATATATCTGCTTTGGGAAATATGATTGCTATGTCTTTGCTACAATAGGAACTGAGACTTTTATTTTTTATTTTTTTTATTTTTTTTTTAGCTGTACGCGGGCCTCTGTGTTGTGGCCTCTCCCATCGTGGAGCACAGGCTCCAGACGCACAGGCTCAGCGGCCATGGCTCACGGGCCCAGCCGCTCCGCAGCACGTGGGATCTTCCCGGACCGGGGTACGAACCCGTGTCCCCTGCATCGGCAGGCGGACTCTCAACCACTGCACCACCAGGGAAGCCCGGGGCTTTTATTTTGATTCTGAAAAGTTAAAATATATCAACTCAATAGTACAAAGAGAGCCAGTCTGATTAAACAGCTTTTTTGACTTTCCAGTCATTTTTATGCTTGTCCTGTCTCCACCCCAAAGTAGATTATTCTCAATGTATTTCCATAAGAAGATGAAGTGTCACTAGTGTAATTTGTATGATGAGGGATGACAAAAATGAAGGAGCTAGAACCTACCATGATACATGGTAGAAGAAGCTGCCCAGGTGACCTGGTTGGGAAATCCTTGGTGAAGTGGGAGGAGATGGTAAGGATGAGGGAAGAAAAAATTAGAGAAAGAAAAAAGGAGACAGCATCAGGTGGGGGAAAAGAGTAGCTGTGTGAAAAAGGAACAAATAGAATGGGGGATTTTTAAAAAAAGAATCAACTAAAAAAGTGAAAAAGTTCCAGGGGAAGCAGACTAAGGCATTCTTTGGGAGTGAAGCCATAGACAAAACCGCCAATTTAAAATTTAAAGCAAAGAGGAATATAATGATAATTCTCTCCTCCCTGCGTGACTGCAGCTGATTTGGTAACATGTCTGTAGAGATGTGAGTAGGTCCTTCAAGGGCAACGTAATGGATCAATGGATTCAAACAATTGCAGGTATGTACACAAATCTGAGTCAGTAAATGGAGGGTGGGGGAACCCTAAAAACATAAGGCCACTGTTTGTCAGAGCCCCTTAGCAACAACATCTTGTTTCCCATTTGCTTGACTGCATCATTTGCATAAGATCAAACACAGGGAGTTGTGGACAGGGAAAAACAGATCACTCTACTATGCATTAGAAATGGATCCACAGGCATTACCCTGAGACGTGTTACAAGGAAATGCATCCTGGTGCATGGAAACCTCGCCGATTACTGTCAAGCAAACTATAATTTACAAGACTGGCCATGAATTATATGCTGTTTTACCATTGATTTCGTGCTGTTGTTCGGAGAATTTCATTGATCTCAATTTACACAATGAACCAATAAATAGGCAATGATTTTAACTCCTGGTGTAAAGTGAGGAATTTCCATCTTCTCCTTGGTTTCTCCCATCAGAAAATTAAAAAGCAGTTTTTGCTTCTTTATCATCTGATGCGTGTTCTCTGGTTCTTTTTCTGAGAACTTCCTAGTGTTATTTCACAGAGGAAAAATACAACTTTTCCCTGATTTTTCTCTCTTCTTTCTGTGCATCCTGCCCACAGATCATCACCTGGATGTTGAAAAATGTGGGAACCATCTAGGTAGTTACTGACCACCTCTCCTTCTGTCATTTGGTATTCCAACTTGAAAACCAGCGCTAGGGCGTCGTTCAGTGAGAGCACATCTTAGGCAGCAAGACCTAAAAGGTGCTGTTTTCCACAGATGCCTGCAAAGCAGTGAGCTATGCCAGAGCGCACGTGGTGTATTGGGGTGCGTGCATCTCTGCCAGTGTATAGACCCTGCTCCACTCCTGCTTCTTTTGATTCCAGAAAAATCAGATTCTGACCTTCTAATTAATAAAAAGCAGAGGCTTTCTTTAGCCTGAACATCATTGCTCTTCTGCTCCTCATAGAAACCTTAACTTGAAACATGCTTCTCTTTGGCCGGGTGAGCAATTAACCACGATCAACATCCGGTGCTGTGCTTTCAAACTAATTCGCAGAGCTGGAATCATTTCGCCCCGGTAATGACTCAGACATAGACCACACCCAAACTACATTATTAAGCTCTACACATTTTCTGTATGTGCTTCCAATATTTCCCACTTCATCAGAGAAATGCACGTCCCTCCCTTTCATAAAACCCTATTCAAAGATTATATTATTCATGGAACAGCTCCTGATTCTCAGCAGGTGCTTTCTTTACACTCTATTTGCCCTTTTAACAAATCTCTGTTGTGAGCATCTTTATCTCAGTCATAGGTATTCACAGTGGCGGGGGTGTGGGGGGTGTGGGGGGAGTGTGGGGGTGGGGGGTGGGATTACACTCTATTGGAGAACGAGGCTGCATCCCCTTATGACTCCTAATACTTTGGACATTCCTGATGGTTGAAGAGTGAAAACTTCATCGCAATAAGACAACTGGAAATGAACAGAGGAAGACCTGGGCTCTCCCACCACATGCCATCAGGATAGCAGCAGGTGGCATGTGGTGGAGGAGCCCAGCCTGCTGGGAGTTGTCAGGCACTAGTTTGTCTATGATAATGAGGGATGATGCATCCTCATTTTCCTCTTTCTCTCTAGCTGGTTAGAACAAAAGGCTTCCATGCAAAACTCCTTAGGTTGACAGATCTGAGTCTCTCTACTACTCAGTTTGTAACAGATTACAGTATATTTAGCCCAACGTTGTTTTTCTTTTTCTTGTTTTTTTTTGTTTTTTTTTTTTTGCGGTACGCGGGCCTCTCACTGTGTGGCCTCTCCCATTGCGGAGCACAGGCTCCGGACGCACAGTCTCAGCGGCCATGGCTCACGGGCCCAGCTGCTCTGCGGCATGTGGGATCCTCCCGGACTGGGGCACGAACCCGCGTCCCCTGCATTGGCAGGCGGACTCTCAACCACTGAGCCACCAGGGAAGCCCCTTGGTTACTTTTATAAAAATATAACCTAGAGCAGAATCACCTCCCTGCTCCACACTAACATCCCACCCACTCCTCTACTTTGACTCTGGAGAGTGAGAGACAGAATTAGGAAGTCAGTATCTGGCTTTCAATTTTCATAAATGCTTTTAACTCACAAACCAAAGAGAGAGACTTGAGATAAGATTCCAGGAATATTATTTGAAAAAGGTTAGACATATAACATCTAAATATTTCTTGCAACACTGGGGAATTTCCCCCCAGATTTAGGTGGAAATTTGCTACTCTCATATTCTTTAGTAATGTGTGTGGATTAGTTTTTGGGAAGCAGAGATCATCTATTCGAGGTGAGGGCAATGAACAAGGGAAATATGAGTATTAGAACTAATGAGACTTATTTGTATATTCAGATTAATGAGATCTGTGAAATTTTGAGATAAATCTATCTATAGCCATCTATTTATCAAAAAGGAGATAGCATTTAAATTGGTTTTCAAGCAGTGGGGACAGAGGGAGAAGACATCCTGGATGGGAAGAGTTGGCAAACGGCGTTGTTGTAGAATAATTCAGCACAAGCTTGGTGAGAAATGTTTAGCTTAGGTCAACAAAGTTCAGTTTAGCTCAGGTGCAGGACACACGAAAGAAGTAAAGGAAATCATGCTAGAAAGACAGGTTGGGGCCAGATTGGAAAGACCGTTGGATTCCAGGTTGGTAACTTTGCAGTGATGATGCAATGGACCCAAATATAATGGAACTGGGGGTTAGGAAATCTTTATCTAGTTCTTAGTTAAAGAACTAAGAACTGCCATTAGTCTGCATGAACTTGGGCAAAACACTTGCCCTCACTGGCTCTTGGTTTCTTCATCTGTAAAAAGAGAAGTTTGTGTTCAATGCTCTCAGAGGTTAAACTCTCTACTGAATGTCTATTTTTCTAAGAAAACTGACGTTCAGAAAATTGTGATAAAAGTTTTTCCTTCTTGGATATTTGCTGTAATAGGTACAGAGGCTTGGAGATGATCACCTGTTTAATTCATCATAAAATGCTCTTGCAATTTCATTTGGAAAGAAATACTAAGCAAATTGTCCTGCATATAAGAAGAGAATGGGTAACATGAGCACAATGGATTCCCAGAACGTAAATTGTAATGTTAGGGTGCAAATACCTTATTAAAATTATGTTTCAACATCAACTTGTGAAAATACAATGCATCAAAAGCAACCACTGCATTTTTAGAAGCTGATGAAGTCTTCAATGAAGTCTAGTCTTCACAGCTAAAAGTAGTTTGGCCCATTATAAGAACTGTCTATAAGAACTGTCTAAATGTCCTTTGGCCCATTTTACTGAACTGTCTATCCTTGAATCACTTCCATACAATGACAGGTTTTTCTCTTTTAAAACAGTAATTTTCAAAGAACAGTCTTTTGACATTCCTTCAGAAAAACACTTAAGTTGCAAGTGCTCACATTATGACAGCGTCTAACTTTTTCCCTAAATTAATTGATATTTTACTGATGATTTCTTAAAAGTTGTATATCTGTGATGATTAGTTTTATGTGTCAACTTGGGTAGGTTATGTTGTCCACTTGATTAGTCAAAGACTAGTCTAGATGTCGCTGTGAAGGTATTTTTTAAGTGGGATTAGCATTTATAATCAGCTGACTTTAAGCAAAGCAGATTACCCTCCATAATGTGGGTGGGCTTCATCCAATAATTCAAAGGCCTTAAGAGCAAAGACTGAGTGTTCCCAAATGAGAAGGAATTCTGCCTCTAAACTGCATCATAAAAATTCTGCCTGAGGTTCCGGCCTGCTGGATTTTAAACTCAAGATGGCAACATGAACCCTTCCTTGGGTCTCCCACCTGCTGATCTGCCCTACAGATTTCAAACTTGCCCACAATCACCTGAGCCAATTCCTTAAAATAAAAATGTATCCTCCTCTCTCTCTCCACCCCTGCTCCCTCCCTCTCCCTCCCTCCTTCCCTCCTTCCCTCATTCATTTTCTCTCTTTTTCTCACCCTAATACAAGGAGGGCCTCAAATGGAGTATAAGATACATTTAGATTTCTCTGGATACATCTGACCAAGCGGGTAGCCAGGACTCCATGAGAACATTCCCAGCACTAGAGGCGGGTTTGGCAGTCACGGAAAGAGGGAGCAAATATGTGTGGACTATGGATTCAGATATCTCAGAGAATTCAGAACAGCTCATGTGATGGCCCCACAGAAGTCTGTCTGTATTGAAAACTGGGAAACACTCTGAAGAATTTACCATTAAAGAAGAGGCTGGGCATGCTTTGGTTCTCAGAAGAGAGAGATCATGTTAAGAAGAGCCTTGTGTTTGTTTGCTCAGATGTCTTCCAGGTTAGAGTAAAAGCAAAAAGACCTGTTTTGCTAAACTTTTTAAGATACTGGAATGCATGCAGTATTCCTTTAGGACTCAAGAAAGAGTACTGCAAGGAAGCAAGCCATTCTTTTACCACCACTTTGATACCAGGAGGATGGAGAACATCAGCAAAGTACAGTAGTAGAGGGGTACAGGATCCAGCCGGACAGCCCTACCTGGAAGAGCAATTCTAGGGCCCACCTGGCCTGGGGTAATTTAAGGTGGTCCCTGATGGGAAACCACCCTCCCTGACATAGCAGTGGGAGAGACTCAGGTGCCTGGTAGAAGAGCAGTGGAAGAGTAGCAGTGTTCCTGATGCCTGGATATGGGCATACGGGGTATCTAGATCAGGGCCATGGAAACGTCTAATGGAGTTACTATGGCACTCGACCAACTGGTGTCAGGCTTGATCCTAAGTGCATGTGAGAAAATCCATATGGCTCCACAAAAACGCATGCGGATTACTTTGCAGGAGGCAGAGATCATCTACCAGAGGCGAGCGCAATGAAAAAATGAAACATGAGTCTTAGAACTAATGAGAATTATTTGTATATTCAGGTTAATGAGATCTGTGAAAATCTGAGCTAAATCTATCTATCTACCTACGTATACATCCATCCAGCCAATCATCCATTAACCTATATCCACTTCAGAGTATACTCAACGGGTGCTCACTGTGTCAAACCTTGTGCTTTGGAAATCTGTATGTTTCTTAGATGGACAATGTCTTTAGAGCATGCATTCAGGAGAGGAAAGTGAAAAATGGTACAGTTTACAGGTGATAAAAGACAGGAGAAATGGATCCCTTTCCTTCTTTTATATAACCCCCAAACAACCTTCTCCCCTTTTCCTCTCAAAGACTGTTCAAAACAAATGAAAAACCAAACCAACCAACCAACCAAACAAACAAACAAACAAAACAGATTAAGACATGGTTACTGACCTTGAGGAGAGAAAATAACAAAACCTTATTTGGGTAATAAGATAGATAGACAGACAGACAGATACAACTTAACCATAGTTTATAAAAGTTAGAAAATATGATATAATGATACAGATACAAGGCAATATATCTGAACCCAGGATGGCCTGGCTATACCTAACATAGCAAAAACATACATTAGTATTACATTTACATGTTAATCATTTAAAGCAATACCTGACATAGAATAGTATTTATTTGATAATTAGAAACAATGTTAATAAACATGATTATGTCCTTATTTATATAATTTGCATTTTCCTAGTTTTTTTCATTGAACTAGTTATTTACATTTTGGGGGTAATTGTATGTATTCACATATTAAAAAATTAAACTAGTACACTGCAAAAGAGTACAACATGAAAAGCGAAATCTCCCTCACATTTCCAATTCATGGTACTTAAAATTTTAAACACTGGGATAAGAGACTTTGGAACAAACCAAAATTGTTATGGTGGATTTCACAGATAAAGCTGGTATTAACTGTACCTGAGTTTGGTTAATAATCATCTGATCAATTTCTTTTTTTTTTTTTTCTTTGGTATAGTTACTATTGTGTAAAGCTAAAACCCATTACAAAAGCAGGGAGGCAAAACTTGAAATACTATTGGATGCATTATGGTGCAAGGAAACAAAAAATAGAGAGAAAAGAAATCAGCAAAGACTTGGGTTTGAGTTTACAGTCTTGATTTGTATAAATATGAGTGAATCACTGAAGTCTTGGCTTTATAGTATATTTTTGTAACATCTCTACCTACAATTATTTTAAAGATAAAATAAGACAAATAGCCACAAAAGCATTTTATAAAGGACAATGCATTACACAGGTAAGACCAAACAATTTTAAACCATCAACAACAGCAGAGGCTAACAGATTCTTTTAACTTAAATGCACTTCCACTAACTAACTAATGCTCATATATACTGCAAATAATGTACTTTAAAAATGTTTATCCTGTAGTTATCTAAAGGTCAGATAAAAATTTTCAGCTAAATCTAAAACATATAGTCAATTTTTGGGAAAGAAATTATATTTATATGACAATATACACCTTCAGAAATAGCTTTTGTGTCATTCATTTCTTTATTCATTCCGTAAGTTTTTGTCGTGCATCACCTGCTATGTGCATCTACTGTGTGTTTTATATGCTGATAAACAGCAGGTAAGATGTGTACAAGATATTTTCAAATATCTCTTCTGAACTACACATTGCTTTGGGTTATGTTTTTCAAACCTCAAAGATGCTGTTTTTTCTGGTGTAGATATTCATTTTATACCCATGATTCCAAACCACTTTTTTATTGCTTCAATAAATTACAATACAAAACGGTAAGTGATTTGAGAAGAATATTTGTGCAAAATTATAAATGATAGTGTCTGTCTTGCGATGAAGACAGATACTTATAAGAGGAACTAATTTAGGGAAGAACTAAAATTCCACTGATTAGCAACAAATTACAATGAGGATATTAGCACCAAAACACTTATAGACACAAAATTGAAGATAATGTATTAGCATTAATATTTTACTATTAGTTCCCAAATGCTCACATTTTCAGGCTCTTAATTTTTCATATTACACAGTAAATCACATATAAAAATTAATTATGAGAGTATTGATAAAATGCAAATCCAGGTATTTGTTTACTCATGCTACTATACCCATCAGACAAAGGGAAAAAATAAATTACTATGTACCTGTTTAATTTTTCTTAGAGCCATCTCCTCCTTGTCTCTTTATTTTGGTGAACAGCTTCACTACCACTGAAATTATAATGAACTTTTCTTAGACTTTTCGTGATAGTAATTTTACAAGATTTCTATTTCCTTAATTACGCTCTGAAATGTTCCTTAAATATCTTGATTTACGTTTGGTTAATGTTAGTATCTATGAGCTAATTTTATTTTCAGCACATCTTTTAAAATAGTCTAGCTCTTTACAAGGACAGATCAGAATACTGTTGTCATTAAAACGAAATAATGGAAAAAATAAGAAAGCCAAAGTTCAATTTTTATAAAGTGTTTTTTCAGAGGAAGAATTTGATAGATGCTGAATTTGTGGAATGTCTACTCAAAAGTTTGTGGTAGTTCAGTTTACACTAGAAGTATGTAGTTTTATGAAAAACATTGATTTATATTTTAAAAACCAAGCTTAACTTTATAGCAGTGATTCGGCTGCAAGGGAACTCTCTTAAAATTATCTATGTAGTCTTTTCAACACCCCGAGTTCCAACCTAATAGAATTTATGGCAAGCATCCTCTTGATTTTTGTGTAATAGAGCTACACAAGTGGCAGAAAGTGACTTTCTAATCTCCCCACATGAAATAGATATCCAAATATTTGCATATTTGGTAGTATATCCCTAGGAGTTGCTAGACTTGTACTCATTTCCACAGTAGGGTGGAGAAAAAGTAGAGAGGGCAGTACAAGGATATCAACTTTGCAAAACAGTCTTTAAAAGTTGGGATATATGAGACAAACTTCCCTAAACTATTGGAATTATTTTTGGGCAATTTTTTTTTCTACGGTTCTAGGTTTGAATGCAACTGGGAAGTACAGTAAACACAGGGTGGGATTTTTAGTCGAGCAAGCAGGATGCCTTTGTTTAAGTCATAGGTCATTTACTAACACTCATATGAAGTTTCACACTCATAGTAAAACAACAATTTTATGTTTAAAATATATATATCAGTCTTTTGTTGTGATTACATGGAATTGAATTGCATAACTACTTCAAAGGTTTAAAAGGATGGATTTTTACATCCTTTAATATAAGCAAATGAGTCATATTTATAGCCATGGGATGGCACCTCTCAGGGGTTTTGCACAAATTGTGTGCTTATGGGCTTTGCATAGTCTGTGTAGTTGTGTGATACAGTGAAAGAAGCAGCAAATATTTACCCAATGGATGTCAGGCACTGGGGTCATGTGTCACTTCTCTGATACCAATCAACTTGTCTGGCTGTCAGTTTCAGATAAATTAGTCTGTCTCTGAATATCCCTCTGAATATCAGTCTGGTATCCTGACACATTGTCTGCATAATCATATCTAGTTTTCATATAAATGAAAAAATTGATTTCTTTACCCTGAAAACAATGTTTATTGTTCATTTACTATATGTTGATAGCCTCCCATGTCTTCAGGGTAGAACATGAAAGATAGAATTCCTGCCCTCAAAGCACTCACAATCTAGTGAGGAAGACAACTAAGTCAACCAATAACTCCAGTAGAGTAGGCGAAATGGTATGAGAGACGGGAACCCAGAGAGGAAAACTGTGAGCTACATGTCTATACGTGCCAGGTCAGTCCTTAGTCAAACGCTATTATATTGTCTGGGTCTTTTGCATAAATGGATGAACGAATGAATAAATGAATGAAAGAACCACAAATCAACAGCCTTGAAAATATTTTGTTCTAATATTCTTTAGGTTTTACTTCCCGAAAAAAAGGAAGGAAGGAAGGAAGGGAGGGAGGGAAGGAGGGAGGGAGGAAGGAATAGATATTTGTCTGTTTAATTTTAACTACCTTGGTGCGCAGTTGTAATACAATCATTGCAAAGTATACGTACTGTTATGGGCTGAATGATATCCCTCCAAAATTCATACATTGTCTCCCTAACCTCAGTAGCTCAGAATGTGAATACATTTGGATACAGGGTCTTTAAAGAGGTGATTACATTAAAATGAAGCTGTTAGTGTGGGTCCTAATCCAATTTGACCAGTGTTTTCATAAGAAGAGGAATGTTGGACACAAAGACACCAGGGATATATGTGTAGAGAGAAAAGACATGTGAGGACATAGCCAGAAGGTGGCCATCTGCAAGCCAAGAAGAGAGGCCTCAGGAGAAACCAAACCTGCTGACACCTTGATCTTGGACTTCTAGCCTCCAGCATTGTGAGAAAATAAATTCCTGTTATTTAAGCCACCCAGTCTGATATTTTGTCATGGCAGCTCTAGCAAACTACCATTTCTGTGAGTGGGTTAAAAGGATATATTATTCTTTCTTGACCATAGTTAACTGAAGCAGGAATGACATGAGGTCATGCAGCAGGACAGTCATAAAAATCCCAGTTTACATCGCGTAACTTTTCATTACTGACTTTGAAGAAATGGCCCCTCTCTTATCAATACTACACTCTGCAGACCTATATTTTCTACATTTATCTCCTCAATTTATGAGTCCCCAAAATTAGACAGTTCCCATTTAACATAAGTAGGCTTGCTTTAAACTTTAAAAACTAAAGCTAACATCTGATGACACATTTTAATTGACATGCTGTCTTTAAGAATACATTGATAATGTGATAAAGATATGGATGTTGTATTAATATTTTGACACCACTGAATATTATTAATAATGTAATAGAATTTCCCATCATTCTCTTACTTTAAACTTAGCTAGCTGAGATTTGTGAGTTGGGAGTCAGAAAGTTACAGCACCAAAATTTTAGTCCTAGCTTTGTCATTAACTAGCTTTATGATTCCAGGCAAATCAATTCAGTTTTCAGAATCTCTATTTTCTCATCTGCCAAATGGGAATAAAACTTTAACCTTTATACATCATTAGGTAATTGAAAAGGCTCATAGAAAGTGGTACATACAAAAATATTTTGAAAATATAAACTATCAAGAAAAATATCAGGAAAAATTTATCTGTTCTTGGGATGAGGAAAATCTATCTAGTTTTCTTATCTAAGGAAGAAACTATGAAGGAAGGTATTTCTAGATTTTACTACAAGTTC